GCCTGTTAGTTCCATTCTCAGCCATGTTTTCCACTGGCTGGGCATGGACGGCATGGCTGACAATGTTGGCCCTGCTTGAATTATTTGCTTGTTATGAAATAATCATAGAGACCAGGAGTGTTCTTGAATGGGTTATGCCTGGATCACATGCTCACCCTTGAAGTGGGGGGAATTCAGTTCTACTTGAATCACATGAACTGAACATGGTGAAAAGGCATGTTCAAAGAGAGGGAATCTTACTTGGCTGATTCCCCCAAATAAAGTATTGTGCTGATCCCAGAAAGGTATAACAGATGCTGGACATTAAGCGATGGAGAGGGAGGGAGGGAGAGAGAGAAGAAGGGAGGGAGAGAAACCTCATCATTTGTCTTAGACAGATTTCATCCATTAAAATGTTTTTTCTTTCCTGTTTTGATTGCAGTATAGGCATTCACTATCTCATAGTAGCTTCCTATCTAATTTCTTTGCCTCTAGTCATTCCCCACTCAAGTACCTTCTAGTCATTGCTACCACATTACTCTTCCTAAAGCAATGTTTTCATCACTTCACTGTCCAGCTCAAGATCTTTCAGGAACTCTGGTTACCAAATTCCACATTCTTCAGTCTGGCATTTATGATCGTCTGCAATCTGGCTCCCACATATCTGTCTACCTTATTTCTCTACCTGCACTTGTTCCTTGTGCTAACTAATCTGCATTGCTCACCATCACTGAACACATTGCATGTTTTCCTTACAATGCCTTTCTCTATTGGTATTGTCTACCCCATCACCATTTCTCATCCTAAATCAGAGCTCGGATGATAAGCCAAAGGCTGCTAGTTGTCTCTGGTTATTTCTTCTCCCTTTCTCTTTTAGGATTAGAACCACTGATTTTCCAATGGGCACATGACCATTTAATAGAGACTACATGTTTCAACATCACTTACGGTTAACTTCTGACCAAAAAGGTGTAAGTGTGGTGATGTATACAACTTCTGCAAGTGTTCTTAAATAGAGGTATGTGTTCTTTTCTGGTCCTAAATACTTTCTCCTATTTGGAAATAAGGATGTGATGACTGGAACTTTAGCAGCCACCGTGGCCTGTAAGGTAGAACCTACATGTTCATTGTGTGGTGAGGACACATGACAGAAGGAGCCTGTGTCTGAGTTGAACAGAGCCACCACACCAACCCGGCTTTCCTGCATTTACATGAAAGGAGTGAATTTTATTTTGTTTAAGCTACTGTTATTTTGAGTTTTTAACTGGTACAAAAAACCAGTATCTCCATGAAAATACATTATTTTCCAATCAAAATATATGAGAAGTGGGGGAATTATTTTAAAGATATAAGGATTTCTCACAGACTCTATGAGCAGGAATAAAGGAAGCCTCAAAAATAAACTAGAACCTGGGACTGAAACATGGTGAGAAAGCCAGGAAGTCCTCTCATTAAATCTTCTCTCTCCTTTTCCTCCCTCCCACTGCAGATTATTTATGTACCTGGCATAGAGAAGCAATAAATAAATGTGTTTAATGGATGGCAGCTTGTGTGTCTGAGAAATAAACTAGATTTGAAGCCAATTCTCAAAACATTTCCTTATATGTATATAACTTGTTAAAGTGGCTCTTTTGAAGGAAACCATACTTTTTAGAGTCTAAGCTCCTTTGTCAACACTTTCTCTTAGCCCTCGGAGCTTTTCAGTTGTTTATTCCAACATCAGGAAAAGGGCCTGAACTACAGTGTTATCCACAACTGAACTAATAAAAAACACATTAGAGGCAGCTGATTTTGTACAGGAGTTGCAAAGGCAAATTTTTATGGGAGTGTGAGTAGTGAGCTCTGGCCCGCAAGAACTATTTTGCTAGACAAAAAAATGCTAGATTGCTTCTGGTACTTTTTTACCTGTAACCAGCTTAAAAAAAAAATCGCATTGTTATTATTTACTGTCTGGGTTCCTGCTTTTACCTAGTTTTGGCCCTCAAGAGTTTCTTATGTTCTTGTTAGCTTATTGACATGTTTGATAAAATGTTTTACATATTTTATCTAGCATTTTGAGTTGCTTTTGGTGGGAGAATCAACCAATCTCTAGTCTGCCATACTACAGAACATGATGTCCAGTATGCTCTTTAAAGAGCTTTAACTTCATTTGTTTGTAAGGCATTATCCTGCATTCTGACAAGCAGAGCCCTAACTCTGGCGGTCTGAGCTCCCCCAGTGTAAAGATGAAGAGTAACTACCTTTCTACCCAGGTCAAATTATTTTTTGAAAAGGACTCATGAGATAATTTATGTGAACTTAGAAACTGGAAAGTAGTGTAAATATACAACATTTCCTGAGTTTTGAAAACAAAACAGAGATAAACAAGCAATGGAAGTTACAACTAAGGGTAACAACTTTAGAATGATTTGTTCAATTTTAAATTTCTAGATATTTACATTCATCTCCTTTATTTTCTGCCCCCAGGTATGGATGGGAAGGTCTTAAGATTTTAAAACATATGTGTTATTTTGAATGTTATATTTGACTTTAGTTCTATAACTTATTTTTTAATGAAAGAGAAGGCAAACTCGAGCACATTACAAAATCTATCATGTTTTTAAAGTGTCTATCTCTTTAATTTATGGTTGAGCAATCTAACTTAGGATGCTCCCAATACTTTATATATTTTGCAGGCTGAGATTCTGAGTGTCTAATACCGTGTAATGTACCTTGGTCTCTGCTGCAAGGACACTGAAGTGTGACTATAGGCAGCTACTCGTATCACTCTTTACATTCTCAAATTCTGTTAGCAGGTTAACTATGTGAGAGAAAACACGTTTAAGTATATTTCAAAAAGACTTAGGGATAGCAGGTAGTTTGTGAAAAAAAATCAGCATAGGATTTAGGCATATAGCTATTGCTTACTATTTCACATAGATGCATGATGTCTTAGGTCCTACGTAGAGTATATCACAGGGCCTGTCCTCTAAATACTTACATGCCAAGACAGTACATTTCCATGTATGTCATTTATTCATTCTGCATTCATTGAGCCAGTCCTACTACATGTCAGGCCTTGTGCCTGTTCTCAAGAGGTTCATAGTAATTAGGAAAACAGACAAAACTACAATTACCATTCTATGGGATAAGTGCTAGAAAGAAATAAGGTTGTAAGGGAACACAGTTAAGGGCACCTAGCTCATATAAGGGTGGGGGTGGGATAGAGCTGGGTGGCAAGCCACAGGGAAGGGCTGACAACAGAACTGAGGCCTAGGCTGAATAATGAAGGATAAGCAGGAATTAGGTAGGTAAGGAGGAGGTGGAGAGTCAGGATGTATTAAGAAAAAGGAGCAGCATGTGAAAAAACAAGATGCTTGAGAGTGTTGCAAGACCAGGGAACCCAAGTAGTTTGCTGTATGTTGAGTTTATCAATTCCACTTACTTGTTATTGACATATTTGTCTCCCTCAGTATGTTTTTGTGGTAGAGATTGTGTGTAATGGTTTTTCTGTTCCCATGTTCAGCAGTAGGCACAAACATGGAGCGCAATAAATATTTTTATATGAGTGAATGACATTCATTCCTGACATGACAAGAATGACATGGTATAAGGGAGTTAGCAGTCCATTAATGAGGAAGGTTATATTTAGTGGCAGTGGATATGAGATGGGATAGATTTAATAATTAGTTGGAAATTAGAATGGATAGGACTTGATATATTGGAGATGTGGTACAAAAGAGTCAATGACTTTCTAGGTTTCTGTTTGGATTATAGGTGGATAACAGTAATAATGTTATGAATGATTAAAACTAGTATTCATTAGGCATTCTGTGTCATGCAGTACACCAAGTGTTTAACATGTATTTATTCTCTCAATGACCCAGTGAGGTAGGTACTCTTAACCATCCCCATTTGCTGATGAGATCAACTCATCCAAGGTTACACAGCTAAAGATGGCAAATTCAAATCCAGGAATTCTGATTCCTATGGTTATACACATGATCTACTCTTCTTCACTGCCTCTAAAAGATGAGATCAATATACAGAATGATGGCCCTGGACCACATGTGTATCCCATAAATTGCATGTATCCCTTTCAGTGAACATAGAGACATAAACGGTGACTGCCTCTTTTTGATCAGATTTTGGGAGCTTGGTTCTGTATCTTCATTTTTCCCTCTTGGAGGACCTAAAGTGGGGTGGAAATTTGATTAACAGTTGACACAAAAGATGAGAAGGCAGGTACAGAAACATTCTCGAATGCTCCCGTAGCTGCTGGAAGGATGGGATCTTGGTTCTATCAGACTCTCCCTCCTCCCATCCCCCTCACTTTTCCGTAACAGACAGACACACGTTGTAAGGTATACATGGAAGCCAAGTCGCAGATTGGTTCCAGCAGTCATCAACTCACACCGAAGGTTCATTTTCTGACTCCTGGTGAGCCCAGCACACTCGAAGTGAACCCGACTCTGCCTGTGGAGCCCAAGGAAACACGACTTGGAGCCAGCTCGCTCACGTTCCCAGGGAAACCGCCCGCAGAGGCACCTGGGGCCGCCTTCCCGGTACCTGCGACGAACCCGCCTGGAGCCAGGGGGCGCGGAAGCGTGTGGGTCCCTCAGGCCCCACGCAGGCCCCGCCCCTGCTCCGCCTCCAGCACCGCCTTCTCACCACGGGGCTGGGCAGCTCCCGGCTCCGGGCTCCGCTCCCGGCGCAGGCGCACTCCAGCACTCCCTCGTCTGCTCCCAACGCAGTGGCCCCGCCGCAGCTGAGTGTAGCGGCGACGGCCGGCCGGCCTCCTCTACCTCTGACTGTTGCGAGGCGCGCTCTGTGCGGCTCTGCGAGCGTGTCTGAGCGCCGGCAGTGGCCGCCGTGGGTTCTTCAGGTGAGTGCGGCCGCGCGCGAGAGGCCCGGGGCGCGGAGCACCGCCCCCCACCTGCGTCCGTGCTCCCGCCTCCCGCGAGCCCGCAGGGGGTGGCCGTGGCAGGTGCAGGTGCGGGCGCGGCGCGCGGATCCGGCCCGGCGATCTCGCTCTCCGCCTCTTTACGTGGGCTCGAGCACCCCCCGGCAGCGACGGCTGCGGCGCGGGGCTTTGGGCATCTGGGTACTCCCGGAGCCTTTGGTGGGCGTCAGGCGTCTGCAGCTCTCCCCCGCTCCGCCCCAGGTACGGGCTAGTTACTCATTAACTGCGCGGTCCCGAGCGCCCGAGGCTGGGAGCCCGAAGCCAGGTTACCTGTTGGAGGGGCGCACGCAGCCGGGAGCCGGGGCCCACGGTCGTGGAAGGGGGTCTAAAGAGAGTTTCCGAATAAGTCTGGAGCCCCGCGCAGCGCAGAAGCTGAAGCGAGGTGAAGCTGTAGGCTTGGGCCAGGGGTCTTAGTAAACGACGTGCGAGGCACCATGCCGAGGCGTAGAGGTCACCCTCGGGAGGTTTCGAGGGAACCTGGTGGGCAAGAGCAATCGCCCGGAGTCGTGCCATAGGAGGCAGCCTGGTTCAGCCTGACTTTTGTTCCGGGGAGTTGAGACGAACTGCACAGACGTAATTGTGATTACACTGCTCTTTCCAGGGATGACAACTCGCTCCGACCGCCGGGGGAAAAGAGAGCTTAATGGATTCTAGAAGTGATGTTAGGTGGGATCCCGCAGCACGTGAAGAGTTGCCAGTTGCTATGGGATTAAAAAAATAGCTGTAATGGCTAAAGGGTAAGGTCTTGTAAATTAAGAGCGCTGACTTAGTACTGATTCCTAAGAGGCAGACAATTTAGTTTGGAAGAAATGTAGCACATTCCGACGCTTCCTGTTTCACACTCCTCGTTTCCCCCTCCGGCTCCTTTCAGTGCAGGGAAAGAGCCCTATATTCTTTGCTGCCGTGGAATGCTTACATAATTAGAGAGGCCGATAAGAGGATTAAAACAAAATTGTTCTATTGTAAACCTGTGGAAAGACCCAGTTTCTATTTATTATCCTCATTCTTATTCTGTTGTTCATGCAGTTGTTTTTTTTTTAAAGGTGAATGACAAATCAAGGAGAAAAGAGACAATAGATCAGTAGACCAAGCATAGTCAGTGTTTTATGTTGTAAATATTCAACCAGTGTTATGGGGCCTTGTTCTGTTAATATTTGTTACTTACTAGTGCTGTGAATCATGTTTGGACAGACATTATATTCCAAGTGTGGCTTAGGTGATCTAATCCTAAAGCTCTCGTGGAATGTATGGAAATAAATTTAGCAGTTATATACAATTTTTCTACAATAGTGTATTACTGTTAGAAGAAAAGCCTTTTAATTTTTTCTTTTTTCACTACAGTAAAGTTACATATTAGTGCATATCTATTTGAATCAAAGTGGATATATTTAATATAATTCTTCCCTATGTGTTTGGCAAACAACTCATCAATGGTATTGAAAACTTCTTACCTTTCACCAGGATGGATATTCGATGTTCAGCTGCTTGTGGGGTTTGTAATTAGTGGGGTTTCTAATTAGATCCAATTGTACTTTTTGAATTAATGTAATTATGCATATTCTTCTTTCAGTATTTTTTTCTCTAACTTTCCCTTCCCCACCAACACACACAGAGATACTCCACGAATAATTTTAAAATTAAAGGTTCTTAGGAATCTAGGTCTCCATCATTTTGTAATATGGCAGAACAAAAACTTGTAGGTTATAGTAGTTTTACGTGTATTGTTGTGGTTAGTATACTTTCTTTTTTCCCATCCTTAGTAGGACTCATTGAATCAGTTAGTAAGCTGGCCAAATGAAAAACGATTAAATCTGTTTTTTTAAGTTTTAGTTCTGTTACTTCCTGTGCATATGGCCTTGAGTAAATTATTTAACCTCCCTGAGCTTATTTTCTCTGTTTGTAAGTGATATAACGTTAGGTTGAACCATATGAATTTGTAGGGAATCAACTGTTTTTCATATGGTTCAGCTTAATATGAACTTCATGGGATGAGAATTAAATGAGATACTCCGTATGAGATGTGGGGGGTTGGGGGACAGGAACCAAAATATAAGCTTCACAGTGTGCCAGGCATTGTGCTTGTTGCTTTAGGTATCTTGACTCCTTATATGTTGGGGCATTCCTGTGATATAGGTGATGGTATCGCGTTTTACAGATTAGAAAATTGAGGCTTATTGAGGTGAAATAACTTCCCTGTGTTTACTTGTGACGGTCATAATAGCTGACTAATGGCAGCAATAGGATTAGAAACTAAATGTGACTGTCCAGAATTGACCTCTTAACATGCGTGTTTCTTCCATTCCTGGTCTAATCCTGAAGCCCTTGTGGAATTTATAGAAATAAATTTAGCAGTTACATACAGTTGTACTATACAATAGTGTATATCTTGTTAGAAGAAAAGCCTTTTAATTTTTTTCTTTTTTCTAAAATTGTTATATATAGTAAAAGAATTTTGTGACTATATGGAGGCACAGAGATGAAAAGTGTTGTTATTTGTATTTCTGGTAAAAAATATCCCGGTTTTCTGATAAAGGTGATACCAGTGCTACTGCTACTACTGAGTCCAGAGCTTCCCCTGTACCAAGTTCTGGCCTAAGCACTGTACCAGGGGTGTCCAACCTGCGGCCCAGGATGGCTATGAATGTGGCCCAACACAAAATCGTAAATTTACTTAAGACATTACTTAGTTTTATTACTTAGATATGTACACTTTCTATATTAGTGATCACAAACTTGGGACCTGCTCGATGATTTTAAAAGATAATTGAAAGAGCTGCTGCGTAATTAGGGTTGTTATATGAGGACTTTTTTGCTTATCTGTGGTGGCAGATACCACAAAAATTATGCATGGACTTTGTTTTGCTCATCAGTTTTCATTAGTGTTTATGTATTTAATGTGTGGCCCAAGACAGCTCTTCTTGCAGTGTGGTCTGGAGACGCCAAAAGCTTGGACACCCTTACACTGTACCAACTTACAGTCGCAGTGACCTAGGAGTTAGGTAACCCCTAATTTTATCCCATTTTATAGTTGAGAAGATTAAGGAACTGAGTGATGTGGCTTGCTCAAGGTCACAAAACTAGTTAAGTGACAGGACTAGATTAGAAGTCAGGCAGTTTGTTTGTCTTTGATGTCTGTGCTCTTCGCCACCACATGCTACTACTTCATCATGGGTAGGTTGTAATGTTGAAGAATTGTTTTCAATTTACTTTTTATGAGATACTTAATATTAGTGTAATAAGTAATTCTTCACGTGTCACCAGAGATTTTTAAATCAAATGCTCATTGAGGATCTGCTCTGCAAGTCACAGTGGGGCTTAAAGGAAAGTATTCGTAAGAAGTCTGGAATGTAGGTGATAGAATGAATAATTTCCCTATCTTTTATAAGTTCCTCAAAATTTAGAAGGTACTTTTCATATATACGTACTGATGTAATTTTAGTAAGTGCAAAATGAGGCAAAGTGCTGTAATAGTTGGACAGTGGGGAGGAAGGAAGGATGAACGGTGGGGTAGGGATATTGGTGTGTTGAGGTAATGAGGGAAAGCTTTGCAAGTATTCTGGGTACACGTTAGTTAAGCCTTTGTCCTATGTAGTTCTGGTTAAGATGCGCGTCAAAGGGTAATAAATTGGTTACTAACTAAATTGCCTAAATGTACTTGATAACCTAAAAAACTAAATATGTCAGCTTTGAAAACACCTTTGTAGCAACTTTTTCCTTTTCTGTTCTGATGTCTAGCTTTTTGGCAGGTAGTAGTACATTTTCTTTCTTTTATGTTTCCAGGACACTGAGCACATGCCTCTTATTTTAGTATTTATTAGTTTTGATATTTACACTGTATTTGTAATGTTAATGACAAGGAGGTTTCTTCCTTTAGTGTTTGCGTGCTTTGAGGGCAGGGCTTACGTCCGTCATCTTCCCTCATTTTATAGCTTTAGCGTTTTGCAGCTTTAGGAGGTACTGTGCTGTGTTTGGTGATGGGTGGTCAGTGGAAGAATGTCAGGATGTATTGAAGTTGCCCTAGCATTGGAAGTGGGAGTGAGCCGTTCAGAGTGAGAATTGAGGAGACTAAGTTTAGGAAGAGAGGGGTACTTACAACAGGTAGCATTAACTTGCCATCTCTGTTTTTCCCCTCTGCTTTTCTTTTCAGCTTACAACTAAGTGATGTAGTTTCATAATCTTAGATTGTATATAGTCACTGTTAGAAAAAAGTAAAAAAGTAATCTTGCTTCATTTTAGGCTATCAGTCACAAGTCACACAAGATTAAATAGTTATAGCCATAAGCTAAGGTTACTTAGATCAGAGGAAAAAGAATGAAAATTATCGAAAGAGTTCAAATTTATGGGAAATACGTTGCTTGTAGTTGACAGCAGGGTTGTAAATGTAAACATAATGAAAGTTGATGGAATTCTCCATATAAGTAGATGAATTGCCAGTCTCGTGTAAAGAGACTTGATTCAAGAATGTATGAGTGCCTGAGAGCATAAAGCATAAAGGAGCATGCAGATGATAGCTCAGAACCACTTAAATAAGTGGATTGTAATTTGATGTGTCTGGAGAAGAGTAATAGTATTGAGCATTCATTTTGGGCACCTGGTTGACAGATAGGGATAAAATGGATGAACAACCAAAGTAAGTTTGGAAAACACAAGAAGTACTGTATTTTGCAGTGTATAATGGACACTTTTTTGCCCAGATTTTCAAGGGAAAAATAAGGATGCACATTATACATGGGTATAATGATTACATACCATGGGTATGATAATGGGCATAATAACCCTGTGTATGATGCACACAAAATGTGGGTGTGCATTAGACACATCAAAATATGTTAAATGTGCATTAATTAATTTCCTGTTGGGAAGAGAATTATGATTGGCCTCATACATGTTAAGTGACTTGTCCAAGTTTACATGCTAGTCAAGGACAAAATCTGAACTAGAAGGAACATTTTCTGAAGCTAGTTTGATAAAATGCTCATATTTCCTCAAGCTTGGAAAGCTCAGCTTCTCCAATCTTGATTCTCTTTCAAGGTACTGTTTTATATACCTCTTTTTCAGGAAAAGGAGCCTATAATCTCTCTACTCCTCACTGTCCATCCCCTCTCTAAGGACTCTGTTGTTTTATTTATTTTAATATATACTTCAGTGCCTATTAAATGTTTAGTTGACATATATTCTTGCATATGCAAAAAAACGGGGGCTTCCACTATTGAGAAAGAGAAACTCGCAAAACTATTAGTAACCCAGTAAGTACTGAGCATTTTCTGAAAACCCCTAATTAAAGAATTTGCAGTAACTAAATTTCTATGTCAGATTGTATGTATTTGGGGAATTAGAACGTGACGTTAACTTGTGGTCTGTATTAATGAGTGGAAAGATTGTGTAACTTCATTGACCATCTGACTAATTTTTCTCTTGGGTTATTAATTAAACCTACATTTATAAACAGTATGCTTCTTGAAATGTAAATGTGAATTTTTGGATATAATACAACTGTTAATGGAGGAAATCAACTTTAAAATGATAATGAAAGTTAATGAGAAAATAATTTATATATATTTATATATGTAATATACACAAACTTCTTTGTTTTGTTTTTTCCTCTATTCATTTATGTAGTATTTGAATACATCACAAAGCTTTCTAATTATGGAGAATTTTAAATAAAATAAATTCACTCAGTAGTGTAATGAATTAAAAGTTCCCGTCACCGAGTCCCAATAACCATCAACCATGG